CCCAATACACATATCACACATATAATTACAAAATCACACAATTAATTAATTAATTACTATATTATATAATAATTAATAAAATAAATAACTAATAAATAAAAATCGGGGTGTTACACAACTCAACTACCAAGAGCCCCTATTATTTCTCTTTTGTTTAAGGGCTATGAAGAGGATCAGCAAAGACAAGAAGTAGTCATGGCTAAAGTTGACATCATTGGCATAACCAATGATAAGCCAAGAAATATCAGAGACAATGTTGTCTTTGATCCAAATTCCATGAACATTGAAATCATCATACCTGAGATCACCATAGCTCAATTTGAGTTCAAACTAATGATGTTCCAAACGCAACAATCCATTATCCAATAGTCAAGTACTACTAATGATGACCCGCTTCTCCATTTGGGGAATTTCTAGAAGGTTCTAGAAATTTCAAAATCCCTTGAAATCATAAATGATACTTTTAGGTTGAGAGTGTTTTCATATTATCTAAGGGATAGAGCTAAAAGTTGGCTCAACTCCTTGGAACCAAGTTCCATAACCACATGGAATGATTTGGCTGAGAAGTTCTTAGCCAAGTATTTTACTCCTATCAAGAATGTTAAGATTAGGAATGAGATCACATAATTTAGGCACGAAGAAGATTAATCTTTATTTGATGATTGAGAGAGATTTAAAGAATTATTAAGGTAATGTACACACCCTAGGATACATACACACTCAACTTAAAACCTTCTACAATGAGGTAGTTCAACCTTCAAGGAACATGTTAGATGCATACTCTTGTGGCTCATTATTGTTCAAGTCATTGGAATTTGTTCCTTAGCTACTTGTGCATTTACTCTAACATTGTAGGCATATAACACTGAGTCATGTTCTGACCAATCTGTCACAACATGACTCATCACGAAAACATTTTAGGTGAAATTCATTAAATGGGTCTTTTCTTAACATATTTTCATATATGTTAAGCTTCCAAACATTATGTAATTAATATTAAATATGGACCTATGACAAATTCATTCATTGTTAATCCTTGCTCATGGCTATTCACAATTTTTAAATTAGAAATCAAGTTATGTTAATATAATCCTTGTGGGAAGATACTTTTATTTTATCACTTGTTTCTCCTTTGATTGTGTATACTTGCACATGAAGGGAAATCAACAATAATTTTTTGGTACTGTTGATGGGGATTGTGTCATTATTACTTGGTTTTTTACTAAATTTTGTGAAAGTACATTAATATTTCAACATTTTCTATTTTCTAGTGTCGCGACAAGTGTGTGACTGTTGTATGCGTCAGTTATTAATTGTTATTTACTGGTGAGAACTTGAACCAGAGAGAAGATTTAGACTTTTGAGAAGATACCATATTGAAATTTAAAAACCAAGAACCCATATTCCTCTTCTTTTGTTTGAGGACCTTGAAGAGGATCAATGGGGACAAGAATGAGTCATGGCTAAAACTGACATCATTGGCATAACCAATGATAAGGCAAGCAATATAGAGATTATGTTCTCTTTGATCCAAATTCCATGAATATTGAAATCATCATACATGAGATCATTGTGGCTCAATTTAAGTTCAACTAATGATGTTCCAAATGCAGCAAGTTGTTGTCCAATACTCAAGTACTACTATTGATGACCCTTATCTCCATTTTGGGCAGTTTCTAGAAGTTTCTAGCTATTTTAAAATCCCTGGAATCATAAATGATGATTTTAGGTTGAGGGTGTTTCCATATTCTCTAAGGGATAAAGCTAAAAGTTGGTTCAACTCCATGGTACCATATTCCATAACTAAATGAAATGATTTGGATGAGAAGTCTTTAGCCAAGTATTTTCCTTTTGTCAAGAACGCCAAGATGGGGAATGAGATCACATAATTTAGGCATGGAGAAGAATTTTTCTTTTGATGCTTGTGAGAGATTTAAATAATTATTGAGGCTTACGCACTCCATGGGATACCCATTTATGTTCATCTTGAAACCATCTACAATGAGTTAGTTCCATCTTCAAGAAACATGTTAGTTGCATACTCTAGTGGCGCATTATTGTCCAAGACTTATCATGAAAGGCACAATTGATAAAAAGCATTATTGCCAACACTGACTAATGATCATTCACTAGAGCATTTACAAATGTAGCCCCAAAAAAGTCACTTAGTGTTCATGAAGCCAGTAAGACAACATCTCTTGCTGCTCAAGTGGCTCATATCCACCAAATGATGAAAATTTCATCGATGCCTTATGACGCGCCAATCGTTGAACTTATCAAGGTTGTGACTGATTCATCTAAAGTTGTATGTGTTTATTGTAGGGGAGCCCATTTGTTTGAAGAATTCTCAGAAACCCCAATTTCTATTTAACTACATGAGCAATCAGAAGAATAACTACCCATAAAACAATATTTAAAAACCAAGTTGGTGTAATTGTCCTAATTTATCTTAGATCAACAATCAAACCCAATTGAAGTTGCAGGAACCACATATCCCACATGGTTTTTCTGCACCTATTCATGTTGTGGCTACTCATTAAAATAACCAGTTGGAATCAATTCTTAAGTCCTTTATGTAATAAACCAAATACCAATTTCAAGCTCAAGGTGCAAGAATAAAAAATCTTGAGACTCAAATAGTGAAGATATCTTATGCTATATATTTTAGAACCATTGGGGCACTGCCTAGCTCTGGTGAATCACCTGCTTCCACTTATAGAACTGATAGTATTGAATCTTTCAAAGCCATTTCATTGAGGAGTGGTAAAAGGTATTGTACTTTCTAAAAGTACAAATTCTTGACCACCCTTAATAATTAATGGTTGTTAGAGGCTTTAATGTTGTTGTGGTGTTGATAGCTAGACCGCATTCGGTGGGGAAGTTGTTGTATGTGTGTATTTTTCTGTTGTAGTTAGGTTTTTCCTTGGAGATAGAAAACTTTCATGGAGTGGGAAGTTTTTCTCCTAATATTAAGGGGAATGTGGTCCTTTATCCTTGTCGTTATATGGGAAGCCACATCACTCATTTCTACGCTTAGCTGACTTCAACCTATAATGGTTAGATACATCCAACAAAAAGGAGACGTGGTCAATAAATGGGTGTTTGATCTGATAAATGGGAGACTAGATTCCTCAACGTCACCTCTTATGATCCTTTTACAAATATATCGATACATAGTCCCTCAAGCATGAGAGATTGGAAAAGGAAAAGTCTCCATGTCTAGGAACCTCATAGGAATCGTGAATAATACACCCTTAAGTTGATATCTTAATACAAAGTACTAGTGAGATTCCATACGAGGCGCATATTGAGACCCTTATGTGAGAGGCTAGTTAAGTCCCTCAGGTGGGAGGCTAGTTGAGTCCTTAAGCAAGAGGCTAATTGAGTCCCTTTGACATAGTTAAAAGTTCCTGATTGTGAGTCACACATCAATTGGAAAATCTCAAATTGTATGTTGGAGGGAAAAGAGTGTAAGATAGATAATGTCATTAATGATGACTTAACCTTGGGATGCCCAATTGGGTTTATTTTTATGGCATGTGTTGAAACATGCAAAACCTTTCACATGTAATTGAAAACATTAGTGGACCTTTGATTACCCTTAGATTCCCTCTCATATTTAAATAAGTAATACCTAATTTTCCATTTTCCACACATTTTCTTACTATAGCCTGTAAAATGTCCTTCTACCTTTGATACCCTCTGCATCTTCACGAGATCAAGTTTATACTTTTACATAGGTACATGTTCGATACTCTTTTCCCCTCCTTTTATTTATGGTGAATATTAGGGATTTAGGTGAGGATGGAAACCTAATTGATCTCTTAAATTGTGACAAGCGTATAGGTATATGGAACGATTGTTATAGGAATTTTAGGCATCTTGACGGGACTGCTGGATGTAGATTAGTGGAACTACTCATGCTTGGCAACTGTTGGAGTTCTCTTAATTCTGAAAATGATATCAGTGGTGAAAGTGATCATGATTCCTCTTTTACTTCTCCTTTCCCAAGCACGTAAGGGAAGTTGGGCCTGTCTACACCCTCGATGACCATATAACCTCCCTTTGACAGCAAAGTACCTTTTCTTCCTCCGATGAAGAATAATAAAATTTTCTAGAGGCGTGTTCTTTGGTGGAGAGGGCCAACATGGTTGTCTCTAACACCACATATGATTTTCCTTTTATTTATACTTACCCATCATTTACGAGGTTGAGGTTCGCCGCCCATTTTATTCCTTTGCAACAAAGGTTCTTACAATGCTCAAAATGGACCCTCCCAAATCACACCCAATAGGTGGAGCTTGATTAGGGTATTTGAGATCATATGCCATCAGCTAAGGATTTACCTAACCATTGGAATATTTTTATATTTTTATTGTGCCAAGGCATATTTTGTCGGGGGCTCAAAAAAGGGAGGATCACTCTTCCTTAATGGTAAGGCAACCCAAGTGACTGTTACTGAATGGGTGGGTTCTTCCAAATAGCCTCGCCAAAGAGTCTTGCCAACTTAGTCCTCCATGTGGAATGGTGAACCATTTTATGCCATCAAGTTTATAGCCGCTCATATTCCCTTCCATGAGGATTTCTCGGGGGGGGGGGGGGGGTCTACAAAGTTATTTTTAAATAATCCTACGTTGAATTTGTCCAACCTTATGGAGACCCACCTGTTAAGGGTCTTCCTTGTGAAGCATGTGTATATGGATAAGAATTACAAACATGTTTATATGGAGAAGAATTCCAAGTATGAAAAGGATCTAAGGACGAAGCTTTCTAACTATAAATAAGACTTGGAAAAAGGGCAGGTTATAATTAAGACTTTGCCAAAGGAGAAAGAGACTGACATGCAAGCTTCAAGATGCAAAGTATAAGTCCAAGGAGTTTGCTACTAAATAAGAGGATATGACTGATTCATAAGAACAAGCTCTTAACCCTTAGAAAAAGTTGGAGGATGAGGTATATACGCTCAAAGACGATTTGGTAGAAATCTTTGACATCTTGAAATGGCTAAGGAGTATGTGGTCGTTCTCTATCCTAAGTTGGATTTAAGCCCCATGGACATGTTAAAAGTTGTATGTGGTGGCCATCTAGTGGATTTCTCTGAAGGTTCCCATCCTTTTGACCATGTTGCTTCTCTTGCCAATGATGTTCAAACTGGGCATGAGGCTGACAAGGCTCCAGAGGATGCCAATATGGTGGTGACTTCCCCTGGAGATACTCTAGAGGAGAAGTTGGCTCCTAAGAAGGGCCAATGATTTGTAAAATTCTTATATCTTTGTAACCATGGCACTGGTAGTTAGTCCCGATGGATTTTCATGTAATACTGAATATTACCCCTCAAGGGCACTTTATATTTAATCTTTCTTATTGTCATACCCTAAATTTTTCCCTAAGTTTTTTTCTTCTTCAAATTTATCTGCATATTGATAGGTCCGCAAGTAAATAGAAATATCGAAGTAATATAAAAGATTATCGAGTCCACATAGACCAATAGTCAATCCTATCGTTATCTATTATTGCTTCGTAAATCTAAGGCTATCTGAAAATATTTTAGTTGAAAAAGGAATTTAAAACAAGAAATAAAATTTGGTTAAGAAAACACTAATAAAAGTGAGACCAAAATATGATTTTCGGTCGTACCTCGGGAGCTCAATAAATCATCGGTGTATATTATATTTTAAAATTACTTTTCAGGAGAAAATATTAGTTTAAAAACATTAGTCTCACACTCTCGTGCTATTGACCTGTGCTATCTTTCAAAACCTCAAATGTTTCGCTCTCGCTCACCCATTTAAGTTACGGAATAATTTTTGAAAACTAACAAGTCCTAATTAATTCTAAAGAGCTATCGCTGTGTTTAGAAATTAATGTCCAATTTTTACTATCTGGTATGAACCCCACACTCTCGCACCATTGGTTCGAAAGCTTAGTATTTTTGCCTCACGCAAAAACCATTTAAATATTAAACTAAAAATTGAACCAAAATAATAATTTTTGTAAAAAGAAATTATGCCAAATCAATACCAAGTCTCACATACGATGGTCCTCACATTCAAACTCTAGAAATTTAGCGACATATGGTATTCGTAATAATTAATGTAAATAAAACCAATAAACATACTAAGGATACTGAATATAATAATAATAAACAAAACACATGCCAGTAGTAAGTAGATTAAAAGAAACAGTAAAGTAAATAAATGGTAGAACAAAAGTATACGTACCAAATGAAATTGGTCAAAAAACTAATAATGAGAAATATATGAAATTAATTCTGAGAAAACTATGCCAGCACGATTTCACTACGAACGATCTAAATCTTTCCTACAAATCTTCAAAATCTAGCTCTAAGTTGTAGAAATCCCTCAGAGGGAGAAATTAACTACTTTACAAATGGTAGATTTCTGCCTAAAATAAAATTCTAAAAACTTGGATGATGAAAACTAAATTCTCCGATCCTATTTATAGTGTTAAAACTCGTATTAGGTGCTTGAAATCGTGTAGGAGGAAATGGAGAAAAATAAGAGAAGTGAACTAAAACTACTTCAACGTTTCCTGCTATTTTAAACTGTTGTTTGATTATGCCTTAAGGGATCAGTTGTTCAGAATCCTTAAGAAGTCTAAGGTTAGTGTATCTTAGAGGTTGTATGTGAGTCACTTGCAGTTATCTTGTGCATTGTAATAATTTGTATGATTATTGGATCAAGACCTTGTTTGGTAAGGCAAAATCACTTTGGCGAGTGGACTAGACTAGCTTGATAGTTTTCGAGTGAACTTGTATAAACATAACTTGTTCTTTCCTTCTTGCATCTTTAGCTTTATTATCAATAGTGAAGAAAACTTTTTAAACAATGGAATTCTTTTCAAGAAAAGTATTTGATTTTAAACCCAATTCAAACCCCCATTTCATGTGTTTTCACACCTTCAAACATGTCTGAGCTACTAATGATCGTCTAACCTCTTTAAGGCATGGTTGTTTGCATAATTGAGTTTGTGTCTTCATCTAATCAATTAGAAGACATTTTATGTGCAAACAGAGAATGATGGGAAAAGTGTCATTCATGGTGCGTGTCGGTGGTTCAAGAAATTATAATTAATATATTATAATTGCGTTTTGTATTATAATATATTAATTATGTGTAATAATAATATTAATAAAAAAAACGGGTGTGTTAATAAAAAATAATATTTAAAATGAATAAGTCATAAAATAATATATTATAATTGTATAAGATGTGAAATAGTAAGATATGAAAAGATTTTACGTTAAAATAAACATAATCTTTGTACATGCTCATATCATATGTGATTTATTACTGTTATTGTATGGGGCTATTGCTGTTGGTGGTGGCAATAATGATTGCTAAAGAATAAAAATTGATGAGAATGAGAAAAAATTGAGCTCAGATGTGCCGTTTTTCGCAACCGAAGTAAACGATCGTGATGAAACCCATCACCACAATTGACACAAGAGTCATCACTGCTCGGTATTGCACCAGCCGGGAATCGAACCCGGGTCTGTACCGTGGCAGGGTACTATTCTACCACTAGACCACTGGTGCTTTGATGACTGCTACGTAAACGTGTACCTACCTACTAATTCATTACGTACTGCTTCGTTCTATTTATTTCTGTATGACAATTATAATACCTTTTGCCACACTCTCTCATTTTTAAATTATTCTTTCGTCTTTTGTGATACTCAACTACATTTTAATCTATTAATTAACATGTCATTACAGAATTAATTCTATTTTATAACAAATTAATTTTATTTTCTGTTTTATTTATAAAACATAATGATAAAACTATTTATATCTAAAACATTCTTATATTTCAATTTGATATTAGTGGTCGATTTTAATATTCTTTTTATTGTTTTTTGAAATTTAAATTTATTCTATGAAACCCTTGTGTTATACCCTTTATACCAAGTGCGGACTGACAGGCTCTGCAATCCATGAAACCCGCCATAACCGTTCAATGCTCATATCGTCTTCTAGTGAAGCAAGAAAGCAATGAGCTCATGTTCAAACGCCATGACGGGCAAACAGTCATCTTAGTGACACCCGTCATGGACCCAAATTGCAAATGACAAAGTCAAATAGTCATGGCGGGCTGATCGTCACCTCACTGACGCCTATCATAACGGTAATGCCCAGAAAATTTTTCCCATTTACACAAGCAATTTGACACTTCCTCCACTTTCTCTCCATGAAAATTTTCTTTTCAGGTTTTGTCTAAGAAAGGATATAAGTTTAAACAATTTTTTTCTTCTCATCATGTAACCAAACAGACAGACAATTGTTTAGTAGTAATGCAAATCCTAGGAGATAAACAACTGTATGGACACTCATACAAGAAGATGGTAAATAATAGAATACTTTTGACGTAAATCTTACTTGTTGAAAGTTTATTTTACCAAGTTCATATCGTAATACCTTTTTGTTCTCTCTTTATAAATCATTGCATTCTCATTAATTTGAGTCTTATCTCTTCCAAATCACCCAATTTCAACAACGTCTTTCTTCCCGCTGCCTTTTCATCAAGGTTCAAAAACTTTATAGCCCAATAAACTTTATATTCAAGCTTAATCAGCAAGTGACACGCTTTCTTATAAACCAGTTAATACGTAGATAATTATAAATGCGTTTTAAAAGCTGTCTTATATGCTCAAAAATTTGTATAAATAAATAGCATGTGATTAAACATAGTTAATTAGGACTTTAATTAAATACTAAGGTACTTGTAGTTTAACATGTATTTCTAACTTAACCAACCAACCATGTCATAATTAACTTTAATTTTCTATTTTTATGTATTGTCTTGTAGTGCCACATTAGAATGTCTTACATTCTTGACAATGTGGACATTGTCGTTAAGTTAATTTAAGAGTGTCATGTTGTTTGTTTAATATTTGTTTTAAGTCTATATTTGTTGTTTGATTAATGATTGTTGAAATTTCTATTGTTTAATGAATGGTTGCATGTTCAAAAAATATTAATAAATAGTTAGTTTATTTTATTGTCAACACAATTTCAAATTAAAATTTTCAAGTTTTAAATTATGTCCGAACTGTTGAAAAATATTGGAAATAAAACCTGAATATCAACAAGAATGAATAACTATGCACAATGGTAACTTTAAAGTGATGACCCATGTCATGACTCTAGAAGTTAGAAATTTTTTCAACATTAATTTGATTTATTTTAGATTATGAAAAAAAGCTTGTTTTAAGACCGTGTTTAGGAGTAGGAATGTTATTAAATAGATTAAGAAAAAAGACTTAATACATTTGCATATGTAAATTTTAAAATGAAAAAAAGAAGAGAAAAAAAGAGAGAAAAGCATGAGAAAATTATAAAGAACATAAGGTGTTTCACTCTGAATAATACGTTGAATTCATTACAAGTGAGACGTTGTTAGGTGAAAGAATAAAATACATAGAAAAAGAAAATAAAGTAATGGAATTAGAATTCTCATGTGCAAAGTAGAATCAAAAGCCCGAGTTCTAATGAAATATTTAACCCCTTTTTGATCCATACAGTACTACATAATTGTTTTTTTTACCTCGGTTTGGTGGACGAGGTAACGAATGATGTAATGGAAACTTTCGCTCTTTTCCCCGCTGTTGGTTTTTTCACCGAGGTGAAATCAACAACTACAAAACCATTCTTCAAGATGGATCACAAGAGCAGAGAAACGTTTTGATTAAAGTTTGTTCCTTAATTTTATCTCTTATCTTGTAATTGCTAAAATTATTTTCTTTAATGCATTCTTGTAAAAAAGGTTGAATGTTGTTAGGACATCATGAATGTAGTAGTAGTTGTTGTTGAATTTTAATATTTCTAACAACAACAACAACAACTAACATTGACAAGTTAGATTCATGCTTTCTTAACTAACATTAAACATTTTTAACAAGCACCCATTTAAAAAATAGTTTTAGAATTACAAGACATGATACATTAAAGAACTAATCTTTAGACATTTCTCTCCTCTACCATATATCCTAGAGAATGGTGTTGTACTTAATGCAATTCTTTAATTATCAATGTGTTTATTTATTAGTGATTGCATTTCAACACTCGTCACTCAGCATTTCAAGATAAATCGCTGTGATATTTACATTTTATTATATTGGTCAGTATGAATTTCATGCAGGTATATGATGTTTCACATGAATTGATAAGTTGACAATGTCTTGATCTTTGTTACTTTATAAATGGGCATTAAAAATTCATTAGTTATATAAACAAACACACATTTCCCCTTGGGTACCTACAAATCAGAAGGAATAGGTATTAAATAAAAAATTAAAAAACAAAATATGCTAAAATGATGTTATTGGGATTCGAAAGGGGTTTGATCATAACATTTTCCCTCGGTTACTAGCACAATCGAGGAAATATGTCATAAATGAAAATAAAATAAAATAGAATAAAATGCACTTAAATGCACTTGATGGAATTCGAAGGGGGTTGATGATAACATTTCCTCTCGGTTTCTAGCATAAACGAGAGAATATGTAGTATTTTTAAAAAATATTGAAATGTAGCGCACCTAAGATTTACAACTCGATTTTTTGTTGACTTTAATGGTGTAATATTAGACGTCATAGATTACACACACTCGTGCGTTATAATATTGTGTCTCATAGAATAATAAATATAATTTTTAAGATGACTGTTTTATCATCTAAAAATAGGTAGTGATGCAGTTTGTTATTATTCTTAAAATTAGACTAAAATGTTATCATTATTCACTTATTTTATATAATTAGTAAAATACATAATAATTATTTTAATTTATGAGTTTAATGGATATGCACTAATACTCTAAAATAATTTTACACTATTGTTCAATATGAATTCTCACTTAATCCTTTTATATTACTAATATATTATTAATTTAAAAACATCATTAAATGATGGTATACAATTATTTTACACTGAGAGTAAAACACACTGACAATTAAATAATTTTGTGATTTAAATTTATTGTAGATAATTTATACATATTTTTTTAAAGAATAATAATACATGTACACTTTTTTTGTACCCTATGACACTTAATTTAATTAGTGACGTGTAAAAATATAATTAGTTTAATTGAAGAACAATGTATTTAATTTACACTCAAATTTAAATTTAATTCAAGTGCATAAATTAACTATATTTTAAAACATAAATTTAATTAATAACCTGTCCAACAATTAAGTATATTTTTGTAGGATTTATTTTAATTTTCATTTTTTTTAACTTGGATTAAACTTGACCCATATATTTTGAGAGAATTGTTTAAGACACCTTAAATATTGTTTTCCCACTCTAGTGAAAAATTAAAATTATTCAAAGAATTCGAAAATGCATCTTCACATACATTCTAAACGCATTCGTTTTTGAATCAGGCTCCAAAGTTATATAAAAAAAATCACAGAAATGTATCTTCGTGTATTTTATGGAGATATATCTCTGGACATTGTTTTAATAATAATAAAATGTGTCAGAGTCTTTTCTCCTTCCTCACATTTTAAAATACTCTTTCAAACTCTCAACCTCTCAAGTATTAAACTCCCTCGACTCAAATTCTCTCAAACTCATTCAACTCACTTCAAAGCTTCTGTCATCAACATTCAATCAATCAAAGAGTTCACTCAACATCAAACTAAACTCACATTTGATAAGTTTTTTATTTTTTATATATTTTTAATTATATATACATTTATAGAAATTGAGCATTAGGTTATGTAATAGGTAGTTTAGATATGTTATTTAAATGATGAATGTGCTTAATAGGTAGTTTGAATGACCAATGCATTATTTTAGATGTTGTAATAGACTGCATTTTTCGCCATTGTTGTTCATCTAAGTTACAGAACATTACAAAGATGCGTCTCTAGAAAATTTTAACATTTTGCTTTCCAAAATCTAGAAATATATCTCCATAATTTATCAGTTTGCATTGTTTAGCTTGACCTCATTGTTTGATTGATATACAAGATATATTGAGGCACTACAGAGTTGCACAACCTCCATCAATTCAGAGGAAAAGAGCTCAATCATCACATGAACCTATCATTTCTAGCCCAGTTGATGCAGATGTGCTAACTTATAGGACTCATGCTTCTCCTCATTAAATGATCACCAATAAATTTTTCATCCTATTTATCGACAAAGTTACATTCTGACGAACCTTACAAGAAAGCTAATATGCAAAGGACAAGATCTGTGTAGCTCTCTAAATAACAAAAAACCTACCAGCTACCAAATTAAAAAATTTATTTTTCACTTGGCAATTTATCCCGACAATTAGCTTGTTAAAATATATTAACAAACACATAAAAAACATAAACTAATTAACGGGATTGACCACCGCAAGTTAACAAGTGCTTGTGAATAAAAACATAATATTGGTCCTTTTTTTTAATTCACATGGACTATTGATGAACTTTTTTTTTCATATAATAAAAAGATTGACCCCGCATATGTAGGTCTAAAAATGCAACACCACATAGTGCTTATTAGATTTATTACCCATCAATAAATTTTCCTTCCATGAATCTAAATCTAGTCAATTTTATACGATCCTTTAGTCTTTAAGTGAACAAAAATATAGGGTAGAGATTGTGATAATGATAATAAGCATTTAGAGGTAATCCCTTTTCTTCCCATATTCTTTTTTACTCCCTCAAAATAGTAGGTCATAGATTGTTCTTCGTGCTGAGCAACTGCCAATCTATCATTTTCACAATCAAATAAATTGGACAAATATAAGTTGATGCGACATTAATAACTAAACATTTCACAAAGTGTTTAACACCAAGATAGACCAAGTGTTTGAGACCCTTACATATGTTTAACCTAAAACACAACAATGTTCCACAAGCATAACCTACAAAATAGCCACATCCAAGTAATCTCCAATATGCACATTTAGAACCAAAGTCATTAATCAAGCATAAATGCTGGAAGAATAATTTTTTTACCTCAAACCAAGCTCATCTCAAGCCTTGCCATCATCTAATCTTCCATTTCCAAAAGATAATGTCTTACCCGCCTTCATAGTGCAATGAAGTCGGAAATACATGATATT